AAGACCCTTCTAGCTTAAGAACAGAGCAAAGTGTATGATCTGAGAAATTATGTGAATTGTCATGAGTACATGATTCGTTCATTTAAATTCTAAGAAATTAGGTTTCTTTACTGAGTAAAAGGACTTTGAGTATTCCTAGACTACCCTTTTTCTGCACAAAGGGCTATGGATTCAAATAATTTGGAGCCACATGCACAAAGAAGAGTCTGATAAGAGTTTCACTTTGCACTTGCATTCTAGGGTCTTATCTCCACCTTGGACTCTAGCATCCAGCTCAGGCTGTGGAAGAAGAGAGCTTAAGTTGTTTGTCAAAATAAACCCTGAGGTGGATGGAGGCGGTTGAAATGTTTCGGCTCTCTTTGTGTTAGAGGCTACCTCCAAAGAGGATCTCAGCATTACCTCCTGGTAGGAGGAATGCATATACACTAGATGCTTCTCTAAGTAAACATGCGTCTCAGTGGCGTTTTTCTTCTGCATGCTTAACACTGATTTATCACCATTGCAGCTGCTTAACATTTTGCAGGGCGGCATTTCATTCCCTGCCCCCCTCCTTCTTTGCATTCCCTGTTTGAAAAAGAGCTCTGTACTGTATTTTAAATATTTTAGACTCAGCAGCAGTAAAAGTTTTCAGGCTGTGGATAACACCATCCCTGCTAGGAGAGGAAGATTTTAACACAGCTGCGATAGCAAACTTTAAGAAAAAAGGAAAAGGAAAAAAATAGCCAAGCTATTTGTTTGTTAGACTATCCCCCAAGCACCGTCCTTCAGAACAATTCCCCTTTGTATGTGCAAACTCCTGTTGCAGGGTCTGAAAAATAAAAAATTAAAAAAAAAGCTTAGGATTTTCTAGGAGAAAAAGAGATTATCTTTTCAGCTAAAGAATGGAAGCATTTCAACTACTCTGAGAAGTTTGTATGGAAAACAAAAAACTCTCAGAAGAATAAATAGTGTGTCTCATGTGGGGCTGTTATTAAGATTTCAAAACAGGGAGGGACACTGAAGAAGCCATTGTAAGCAGTGATTGTCATCTAGTGGAGGGTCTCTTTTAACCCAGGATTATTATATTTTAAACTGAGGTCAAGGAATAGAGAAGGTTCTTTGGCAGATATTAGCTACATCAGCCTGCCCTTCCCAAACCTCCTGCTGATAAATGCCGAGCTTTCCTAGTTCAACTCTTGAACGGTTTGTGTGAGGGAGGAGATGAGGAAGGAGACAAGCTCTCCTGCTCTTGGCCCATTTCCCCCATAGAGGCCAAGTTTTCACCCTCATTTTCTTTCCTGGTTCTTTGAAAGCAGAAAATTAAGAAAATGTTATGGCCGCCATACCTGGTGGGAAATCACTTGAGTTGAACTTGTCACCCTCTTAATCCACTTATGATGATAGAGTGCTGATTTGTGCATCTAATTACTGAAGCCTAATTATTGCTGCACTGAAATCAACGTGGCACAATAAAATATGCACCACCTTCCCAGGAATGAGACGTGCCAATCTCCTTCTCCTCAGTGTTGGTAGTGACCTTATTTACAGTCTTAATCAAAAGGGAGCTTTGTCAAAGATTCAAAGTCATCCCTTTCAGGCCGCTGAGCTCTTCAACACATGCCTAAAACTAGCTTTATGAGGTTGTAGGTGATGAAGTTTGTCTTCACAAATGGAAATTACTAATTTATTAGTGTTCTTTGAGGTGGAAAATAGCCATGTAGATAAAGAAGAACACGTAGGTGCATGTTTTAAGACTTCAGAAGTCTTTAAAAAGCACTTTTGAAAATGTTCCACACCATGGCTTACTAATAAATGTAAAAGCTGTATGCCTGGAATTGGGGTGTGCTCTTTTATCTCAGAAAGGGAACTGGCTTAAGAAACAAAAATAAAATGCTCAGAATACACATGATCTTCTCTTGCAAAGTGAGAGAAACTAGAAGGGGGAAAGGATGGGAGCCTGGAGGTTCTGTATCATGATGGATTATATTTAACATGCTTACTGCATGGTCTTGATGAACACTGTGGTTCCCACTGGCAAGACTCATTCTTAAATATTCTGATTCAGTAGGTCAGAGGTATGGCCCGAGAATTTATGTTTCTAAATCCTAACAGTCTTATAATTTTTACCTTAATTACTATGCACCAGTTATTCTTCTGAAAATTTTACATGAATTAAGTCTATTCCTTATAAAAATTATAAGACTGTATATGTATATCATTATCACAATCTCCCTTTTACAGGGCGCTTAAATAATTTTTCCAAAATCACACAGTGGGTGGCACAACCATACATATACATATACATACACATATACATACATACACATATACATATACATATACACATACACATACATATAAAAAGGGTCTTCGGTGATGACCTAGAAGAAGAAAATGGACATCATTGCTGATTGTTTGAAAAAAAAGGCTGCTTTCATTTGCAGCTCACTTCTTTCTAAAAGGCCTTGAGTGTAGTGATTTCTTTTGAACCTGGAAGTTCAGTTATTCACAGACTGTTTTATTCAAGTTCAAGAAAATATTTGTTAGCTTTCCTTGGCTTTTTGCTTCTATCACTTTTTTCTGGAATGTGTAATCTTGTTTCTAGGAAAGCATTAAGGATATGAAAAGAATAAATCACTGGGTTTTCTTCTCCATTACTGGTCAGGGATCCATTTCTATTTACATTCATGCATTGGTGTGTGTGTGTGTGTGTGTGTGTGTGTGTGTGTGTGTGTAGGGGAAGTGCACTGGCAGTTGGTTCAAAAAGATTCAAGCAACTCCTTGGGTTTGTAGAGGTTTAATAAAAATAATGGACTAAGGAAGGAAAACGTGAATTCATTTTTTAAAAGAGCACCTAAAGGAAAAGAAGTGACTAAATCAGATTGTTATTGTAATGGACCAAATGCTTGGGGATGCTGGGACCAAGACTGATTGGTCTTGATTTTCTAGCAAGTATCTTATAATCTTCCAGTGATGGCAGGATGTAGGGATGTGGAGGCCGAAGGTAAAGCCACAGTGTTATAATGCATTATTTCAGTATGACTTCAGTCGAGCAAGATCAGATTTATCCCACTTCCTGCTTGTGGTGGCTCTGAGTTAACAGAACAGGCAAAAACTTTTAGCTATAGGATTTCCATTTATCAGTTAATTCATATTGCTGTATAATCAACCATCTTGATTGTCAACTGCTACATGGGTGTTTCATATGAGTGTCTTTCCTTACGAATAAGACTGAAAGGTCATTAAAAAAAAAAAACAGGGACTAACTGTTGCTGTTCCGTATGCTCTCTGACACCTAGGAAAACCTGGGCATCAAGAATTGAACTGAAAAAAAAATGAAAAAAAAAAGAATTGAACTGAATGAGATATATTAAACCAACTTATTTTTTGTTTGTCTTTGTGATATAAAGGTGCTATATCTCATCCTGTGCTATTCAGTTTAAGGTCTCATTGGTTTTTCATTTGATGTGGAAGGTTAGTGAGAGAAAATGCAGCCTGTATAACATACCAAAAATTGATATTACCTTCATATATATACATACACACTGGCAAAAGGGAGTCTTGTTCTCAGCTGTACTTGAGAATCATATCATTGTGCCTTTATCAAATGGGTTAGAATCTAAAAATAGTAGTCTTCTTGGATGGAATTTCTCATGAAGAAATAAAACCCAAGGCTGTTTGGAACACAAGAAGTTTGCATCTTAATTCTTTCATGGAGACCCCAGATTCCATGAAGCGCTATCAGTACTTCGTAACGTAATTCCTATCGGTGGAAGAAAACACGAGCACTAGACAATGCTTAAAATCAGGAGAAAAATAAAGATTACCTTTCTCTGTTACACATTTGCCGATATCCAAGAAACAAACAACCCCGTAGATAGTTTCAGCCCCATTACATGTTTACAGACAGAGCACAGCGGATTTATTCTAACATTTTCCCACCTGGAAAAACTGATCTTAGGCATCCTCGGCAATCTAGAAGCAACATTGTGCTCTTCGCAAGGTGTTCATGTCACCTTTGCAGCAATCATGTACTTGCAGGAATGGGACTGGGTGGTGGTGGTGGTGAAGGTTCTGGTGTAGAAACCGCAGAAGGAGAGCTGGGCTCTGGGGATGGACGTGGAGGAGCGGCAAGGAGCCTGGAGAAGAAAAGGCTGTCATATTTGCTCAGAAGAAGCGCCAAATCAGGGAGCAGAGGAGATCTCATTGGAGGAGCGCCTTCCACAGCAGCTAATCCTGTCATATTGAAAGAAAATTGTAAATGTTCTCTCCAGAAACCGTCCGCCCATTGCAGCTGATCGAACACATAGGCAGGAACGCAGGCACCGGCTCCGGCTACCCCAGGGGCGCCCGGCGCAGGGACCCGCTCCAGCGCGCACACACGCGCGCACACACACACACACGCGCGCGGGCCTGCGGGTTGGCTGAGAGCCTCGAAACCGCAGATCCCGCTAGGACCACGCCGGAGGCACTGAAGTAGGTGTCGCCCCCCGCACTCCTACTACTTCCCCGAGCGCTCCGCGGAAGGCATGAATCCCGCCCGGCTCGCGGGGGCATCCCGGGCTCGGCTCTGTGATGCTCTCCGGACCCGCCGTCCTCGGGAAGGCCAGGTTGGAAAGTCTCTCTCTCCCTCTCCCCCTCTCTTCCTCTCCCCCCCCTCCCCTTCTCTCTCTCTGGCGTTTCCTTGGGTGGTTCGGTGTGCAGGGCGGGGGGCAGCGCCAGTTGAAGTCCGGTCTACACCGCGAAGGGGTTCCGGACTCGCCGGGCGCCCGGCTCCCGCGTGGGGTGCGCGCCCCTGCCCGCGCGGCTCTGCCCGGAGCCCTCGGGTCCGCCGCGCCCCCCCTCCCCGCCCCACCCCTCCGGGCGTCGCGGCGCCAACTAATCTTTGCCGTTTCTCTCGCAAGATCAAGGCAGAAAAGCAGCAGCGCCTGGCGGCTGGCTCCGGACTCTGAGCGGTGCGCAGCCCCGGCCCGGCCAGCGGCGCCCCCGCCCCGCCCCGACCCCGCGCACGGCGCCTCGCTCGGGCCAGCCTCGGCCAAGGGACGCGCGGCCCCGGGAGGCAGCGGGAGCGACACCGGCGGCAGGTAAGGGCGCCGCGCCCCCGGCCCCGCGGGTCCCTCCGGGGATCGGTCCGGGGCCGCGAAGCCGGGCGGGGGCCCTCCCCCTCCGACCCTCGGACGGCAGCCCGGACCCCGGGGCCGCGGGGGCTGCCGCCGAGCGATGGCGGGGCCGGAGGGCGGGGGCCGCGGCGGCGTGGCCGAGGCAGCATCTCCCCCGCCCCCGATGCCGTCCTGCCAAGGACCCGGAGACCTCCGCCCTCCCGGCCGCCCGCCCTCGGTCCTCCCCGCGGGGGGGGGGGGGTCCTGGCCCCGTCTCCCGGGCGTTCGCGGAGGAGGCCCGGCTCCCCGGTCCCGCGCCGTCCCCGGGCTCCGCCTTCCGAGCCGCCCCCTGGGTGCCCGAGCCGGGTCGCTGGAGGGAGGCTTTGGTGCTGCGGCCTGAAGACCTCCGCCAAGGGGCGCGGGGCGGGGGCACCACGGGGGGAGGAACGGGGGAAGCGCCCGGGAGCCCCATCCCACTTCGGTGCGGCTCGCCAGGTCAGCAGTCCACCTGGGCTTGGGGACAGCGTCCCGGCGCAAAGCCCGCGAAGTCCCGGATCCCGCCGGGGCTCCCCTGACCCCACCTCACCACGGGCCCCGGGCCCCGGGCCCCTGCGGCGGGGCGCCAGGTCGCAGTTAGGGACCGCCGCCCCCCACCCCCGCGCACCTGCGGGTCGCAGTTAGGGACCGCGCCCCCCGCCCCCGCGCACCTGCCGACCCGGGTGAGCCGCGCGAACTCGGAGCTCGGGGAAGCAAGCGCGGTCCCAGCGCGGTCCCGGCCGGCGCGGGGTGAATCGCGGGGACATCCCACCTGTACGCCCGGGCCGCGTGCGGGGCGGGGGGAGGGTCCTCCGGGAGAGCTTTCGAGGAGGCAAGGTTGCCCCGAATCACGGACCCAGAAAGCAGCACACGCCCCCTGCCTGCCTCGGGTCCCCTCCGGCATCCCCATCGCCCTCTCTGCCCTCCCGCCCGTCGCCGAGGCTGCTTGGAGCCGCAGCACGGCCCGTGCGGGGGGCCGGGGAGCCCCGAGTCCCAGGCCAGGAGGCCAAGGTCCCGCGTGCCTGGGATGCCGCTGGCATCGGTGCAGAGAAGCAGGAGCGCAGGGAAACAGAGGGCGACGCCTAAGGCAAGCAGAGCTGCCCGCTGGTAGCTCCCCAAGCCGCCCTCCCGCGTCCTGAAGTCCCTTGGCGGCCACCGCACCTGTGGCCTCAGGCACCGGAGGGTTCCAGCCCCGCCGGAGCCCCGCGCCTCCCAGTGCCCCCAGTCCTCGGCTTCGGATCCCCCACGCTGACTTTCCATTTCCCATTCCTATTCCTTCTCCTCTCTCCCTTCTCTCTCTCTCTCTCTCTCTGGCTTGTTTTTGCATTTCTTGCTCTTTTTCCTAGCGCTGGGTGGCAGTGGGTACGTGGCAGGCAGCCGTGTGGCTTGTCCATCCCCTAGTACACGCAGCCAGCCACACAAACACACATCCCCACGCTCTACCACTCGCCGGCGGCGCTCTGGCTCGCTGCCCCTGCTCTGCAACCTCAGCCACCTGCAGCCCCCGCCACACAGAGGCCCCGGGTGGAGAAGAGGGGAGCCACCCAGACTCCAGAGGGAACCCCTGGGGTGACAGGGAAGGCCTGGAAAAAACTTGAATTTGAGGGTGGGGTGGGGTGAGGGTGGGGAAGCTCTGGGGGAAGTGGCCAGGGAGTTCATGCTTCAAGGAGCCAGAGGCTGGGGCACCCCAGACCTCCACCTAGGGCCTGCCTCAGGCCAGGGCCCAGACGCAGTCCAAACGGCCGGGCCCTGGGGTAATGGGCACCTGGCTTCACTCCAGGCCATTCTGGTTTATCAGGTTAGAGAAGGCTCCGAAAGTGAGGCAGCTCATAAACTCCTGCTACTCGACCCGGCAGGCACCGTGTGGCAAAGGCCGGGCATTCTATCCTGCAGGCGATCTGTAATGTGTGTAGACATTGTATTGGAAACCATCTGGCAGGGTGATGACATTTTTCACGGATTGGCAAATAAGGATGACGATATACTTTAGGAGCTACAATTGGGCATGGATGCGAGTCATATTTGGGTGATACCAACCAAGAACTGATGATCATAGAAGTAAACCAGTTGATTTGGCCAGAAGACAGGTTCACACTGGAAACTGTATTAGGCTGCAATTTAGAAAGTGGACTTTTGGGACTCGGCAAGTGGACAGAAGAATTTCGTGCTAGTAATGTCGCAGCTTTGCAGGATTTGGCATGTACGGTCTCAAGGAATATATTAATGCCAGGTGGATTTCTATTGCTATTACCATTATTAGTAACGTGTTCCAGTTGAGGCAGTGTATGGATAAGCAAGATCTGTTGATTCTGTATTTTTTACTAGGCTACACAGCTAGGCTAATTAAAGCTGAAAAATAAAGATGTGGAAATTCCCTAAAAATTAGGTGTGGAAATTCCAGCCAAGTCAGCTTACTGTTTTAAAACTCTGTGAATGAAGTGGGGTGGGAGTGAGAGAGTCCTGAGACCCAAAATTCCTGACAGCTGCTTGGTCTTCCTGCATTTGTTTATGTAAGCGTACCTGAGGGTGTCTGGAGAGGGATTGGAGGGACAAAATAGGTGGATTTGAATATCCCTATCATAGTTCAAGTTCAAGGGAACCCAAAGAAAACAGTTGCAGTTCTCAGCTCCAGGGGCAGATATGGAAGGGACCAGTAGTCAGATGTAGGCACAAGTCCCTCTGGGATGAGTCCCCACATCCTCTCATTTCTGGGGTGGGGGCAGAGAGGGTGGCTAGCTTTCACTTTTAGAAACCGCATGGCTCCAAATGTGGCTCTGTCCCCTTCTTTATCCCGATCGTTCCAACGTCAGGGCCTTGGATGTACCTTCCAGTGGCTTTTCCCAGTTCCAAACCAGGGCAGCCGTCCCCCAGGGCCAAGGTCACGGGAGGGAGGGAGGGCCAGCCTCTGAGGTCCAAGGGAAAGAGCCGTCCCCAACCTGCTGGCTGGCAGGGAAGGCAGGGAGGGCATGGCAGGAGAACAGACAGGCCGATGGGGAGGGGCTCGTCTCTCCCATCCGCAGCAGTGACCAACGTTAGGGCAAATGCAAAAGAGGAGGATGAGGGGGCAATAGAATAAGAGGAAAGGAAGAGGGACTGGGAGGGGTGTCGGAGAGGACAAGGACAAGGACGTGTGGGTGTGCCATTAACAGCCCCCCCCCCCCCCGGAGAGCTTGGTTCAGGCCCCGTCAGTGATGTCAGTCTTTGCTGCGGTGTGCCTGTGACAGAAAGGCCTGTCAGTGATTAGCTAAACACTAAACACATTAGGCCACTCACGTCACACCCCACTCATCATCTCATCTTGATCTTTCTCCACTTTACCCAGTAGGATCTAGAGCCTGACAAACACTTTGTCACACATTTCTCTTGAAGGACTGGTTTTCTTCATTTAAACTTACATTTGAGTTGGTTGGACATCTTAGGGCACGAATTCTGTGTCCTTTCTCCCCCGACTCCTCTATAGCGGGCGCTGTCAGTGTTCTCCTTGTGACTAGGAGTACCTGTCTTCCTTTCCCTGTCGGGGGGCGGGGGGAGTACGACAGGTACCCCCTGCTCTGTCGGCCTGTGGTTCCATGAACCAGGGGTTGGGGTTGGGGCTGCTTTGTGTTCCAGGGTATCAGAGCCAGTGTCCTGATTGCCCACCCCCAAAGCTCAACGGAGTCCCGTGGTCCTGGTGGTGGCAGCGGTGGCGGTGGCGTGTGCTTTCTGGGGAAGCAGGTTGTTTTTCCTTGCAAACGAATTTTCGTAGAGTGTGTTCTAAGTCCCTAGCACCGTCCTAAGCACCTTCATGTATTATATCATCTGTTTCTGTTAGTGCTCTATCCCCGCTAAACACCCCCGTTGAAGACAGTGTCTGGTTCATCCGAGTTGCTTATTAAATATTTGCTGAATGAATGAATAGATGAACCCATTCTCAGTTTGTCATCGTAACCGTCCCGTGAGGTAGACTTCACTCTCCCCATTTTACAGCATTCGGAGGGGTCAGGTCATGGCCCAAGATTGCACAGCTGGTAAGTGGCAGCTGCTAGGTACAGACTCAAGCCTGTTGGCCTTCGGTCTTTGTCTTACCCTGTGCTGCTTGGCTCTCTGGCATTCATTTCCCCTCTGTTGGGAGAAGTCAAAAGTGTGGTGTTCAGAGCTCAGCAATCATTCCCCCCATCCTTTGAATTCCGCTCTGCATATGCTTGTTGGATCCCCTAGACCCTAAGCCAGTGAGGCAGATTGGGTGCCAACAGATTCTTAGTTGGCACAACATGCTTGTTTTGACTAACCAGTGAATGCCTCTGGCAGAGGAAAACAAGCGCACCAAAATTACCTGGTACTTTGGCCGATGTTCTTTCCACCTTCTGCAATACTAAGGCTTTCTTTTGTCTGGTGCACAAGGATGAAAGACAATGTTGATATCTGTCAGATGAACTCATGCTATGTGTTGAAGTGGGTGAAGAGGCTTTTCCAGCATGAGGCATTGACCAAGAGCTGCCTAAGAGCTCACACCTCCCAACTTCCAGGACAGTGGTCCCCTCGTTTTGCTGCTGAAGGAGCTCCTCTTCATTTATTAAGATTGCCTTTGGCTCAGGTCAGGGTGCTTTCCCGTTCTGAATTGCAACGGCAACTTTTAATTTTAGTTCAAACTTACTATCCTCCTTTCTTCTGAGAGGCCTGATGTGACTTCGTGAAACAGCGATTAGCAAAGGGCGAGTTTCTGGCTGCTTTGCCTCCTTCCACACTTCATATATTCTTGTCTTTATTTTGCTTCCCTTTTTTTCCCCCCTCATGTTCAGGCTCCTTCTTTTATACTGTGACCTAAATATACAATCATCTTAACTGGTGCAGTTACCATGGTAATGCTTCATGGTAGATAAGGGTGCACACTAAAAAATCAGTTTCTTTCATTAGCAATGGAATTCCTTCTCTTTTCTCCCTCTCTCCCAAATCCTGGCTTTCACGGAATG